AGCTTATAAAGAGGCCTTAGTAAGAGATATTGTAGCGGCTTAAATAGTATATACCTTATTCCTTATTATAATGGCTGTAGGTTAATATGCACTACCGGATACTCGAACTTAAGCGTTTCGGGGAGCGGCGGAAAATTAACGGCCGTATTTTCGCCCTGCTTCTCGTTCGCGATAAAGGAGTTCTAACTTTCTAGAATAAAGCCTAGAGTCGTGTCGGACAAGAAGTTAGATAAGGTAGTATTATCTAGTAGGACCTTAGGGTCTAGAGGCGGCTATTCTTAGAGGCTTAGAAAGGAAGCGAAATCTAGTGCTTTAATACTCGGAATAAGTTTACTAGGAGTAAGGGGCTTAGTTAAGTCGAAGTTAAGACCCTTCTATATATTAATAGCCCCTATTATCGAGTCTATCGCTTTAGAATTACCGATAATAGTACTTACTTTTAGAGGTAAGGATATTAATAATAAACTAAGATAGCTTTAACTTTATTATTATAAGAAATAGTCCTATTTTACTAGGACTTTCTCTCCTTTTATAATTTCCTCCCGGGTCGTATTTACCCTATAATCTAACCCTCTATTATATTAGCGCTAAGGAGAGTAAGAACCGAGTTCTTATTTCTTAATTCTCGCTATAATTAAGTTTATCTATATAAGCTAGCCCACTAAATACCTATTTACCTATATTAACTGAATTATACTAGCTCTCTAAGTCTCTTATTATATACCGTACCTAATTTCTGCTACTATAAAGTTTCTTTTTCTTTTTAGTATTCTTTTTATCCACGGGCTATACTTTAGCGGCTACTACACGATATACCTCTTATCCCCCGAACTAAATCTCCTAGTAAGGAGTTCGTCTATTACTTTTATATACGCCTCGCTACTTAGCGCCGCGTTATATTAGTAGCTAACGTTAACAGGGTTTATCCTTTAGTCTAACACTACTTAGTAGCTATTATTTTTAGCGATACTATATTTCTGCCTATTACCTATATATTCAAGGCGGCTAATTACCCTAGATAGTAAGTAGTAACTTTCTAGATCCCCGCTAGCATTCCCTCTAGCGATATATATATTATATAGTAGGCTATACCCGAGTCTTATAAAGGTATTATTCTAATCTATAAAAGGTAATATATAGGTGAATTACCGGCGTATAGTCGCGTAACGATTTCTAGAGGTTATAGTAGTTTATCCTTACCGCTTTAGAATACCGGGCGCCTTACCTATATTTCCCCTATTCTATACCTTAGTAGTACGTTTAGTACTATAAGCTAAAGCTCCTTAATAATATCCCTTTTAAGTCTTACTATATTTACGTCTCTATTAACCTTATTAGATAAGTCGGTGTTTACTATAATCCACGGGAGCAGGAGCCCTAGGCGCTTTAGGGCCTCGGCCTTCCCTATTAGCATACACGTTTCTTCTATTATAGTTAATATAGTTACAGGATCGGGAACACCTTGCCCGAATACTTAATAGGCTATATTCGGTTAACGACGGAAGGTTCTCCGGGCTTCTATATACGGTCTTAAGGAGATAATATTATTAATCATTCCCTATATACCGTATACGGCCTAAATCTTATATTAATTCATAGATAAAATATAGTTAGTCTTTAGTCTTAGATTATTATAATATACGGACTTTCTCTAACTCTAATAAGCCTAGTCTATAGCAGCTTATACTTTAAAACTGCTTAATATAGAGCTTTAAGGTGGAGTCTTATATATACGCCCGTTAGTGATTAAACAGAATATTAATGCATAAAGGATTCTGGTAACTCGTGATTTAGTCTAGCTTACGAATACTAAGAACCTATTAGTGATATAGCTAATACCGAAGCATAAGGGATTTAGTTTTAGCTCTACAAAGTAATAGCGAGCCGATAACTAGACTAGACTATATACCCTGACTCCTTAGGTTATATCGTTATATTTATTCTACCTAGGAACTTAGAAGAAAGTCTTCCGTGTATTTAATATAAAGATATCTAAAAAGATATATATAATTATTATTCTTAAGTCCTACTACTCGTACCCTGGCTTTATATATCACGTAAAGATATCTTTAGTCTGTTAGTAAAGAATATTCTAGGGTAAATAGAATTATATAAACGTACTATCCTAAGTTACTTCTCTCCTTACTTTATACAGAAAATAATAGCTATAAGTACGCTTACTTTAGCCTCTAGCTTTTCGAGCCGAGAATACTATTCGTAAAATATACTATATACCTTTTTATACTCGCGGTATGCTTTTTCGTACTCGCTGTAATAATAAGTAATATAGTTAAGATATTACTTAGTAGGCGGAGTATACTATTTATCTAAGGACGGATTAACTATTAGATATAAGAGATAATAAGATTAGATAATAGTAAAAGATACGATAAGTCTTTAGTATCTTAAGTTTGGAATATAAGCTAAAGGTTAAATAAGAGATTATAACGTATATAACTAGGTCACGGAGGTATTATACTAAGGTATATATATAGGTACCTCTTAGGTACCTACTATATAGTACGGAATATATACGGTATTATAGCCCCTTATTACCTACGTTTAATCTATAGGAATAACCCGTCCTGATAGTTTAATTCTACTTAAGGTAACTAATATAAGCGCTTAATAAAGTAGAGAAGCGGGGAAACACTACCTAGATACTACTTATTCCGGTACGAGTCTAACCGAGCTACTAAAAAGTAAGGCCGGGGTATAAGTACGTGTATAACAGAGCTCCCTAGAGTACCTTATATCGTACCTAACTAGGCAGATACCTAGGTATCCTAATATAGACTAATAAAGTACCTAGGTATATAGCCACTTATCCCTTAGTCCTGGCACTTTGAACCTTAAGGTACCTTAGCTTAGAAACTAATTTGTGTTACTAAGTTTAGAAAGCAGAAAGCGGAAAGCAGAAAGCGGAAAGCAGAAAGCGGAAAGCGGAAAGTTTAGATATCGGCGTCCTTAGTAATAGTATCGCTATCTATTACGGGTCGCAGACCCTTTATATAGACTAGGCATAAGGCACTGGTTAATCCCTTAAGTACCGTGGCTATCACTCTAGTACCTACCCGGGAGGGGGGGGGGAGGGGGTCCTGGACAGTGCTTAGATAGTGGACTTCTTACCCTTTATACCAGTACTGCTATGCCAGAGCCTACTTATTATGACCAGCAAGAAAATCACTATCCAGGCACTGTCCCTGGCACCCCCCCTCCCGGGTAGGTATATAGGCAGTCAGAGTAATGCAATTGGCTCGGGATGCGAGGACATTATGTTTGGATTCAGGACATCGAAAAGTGGGGCCATACCATGTGCGCCGGAACACGTAAGTACTATACCTATTTTATTAGGATACCTAAGCACCTCTATAGGGATTAAATAGGTTAAGGTAGTTTATAACTTTGCTTTATATCTTATTTCGATTACTTATTAGTTTATTACTACCGGTCCGTACTTCTATATCTATTTTACATAGATAGGTATTAGAAAATAATAATAGTATAACGATAGTTATACGATGCCTGCTTACCTAAGGTAAGGTACGTAAGTTATTAGAAGGTACCTAGGTATAGTAAAGACACTAACTTCGGTAGTGGTGATAAGGGGAGGCAAAAGAATATTGTGAGTATAGATGCTTAAGGAATCAGCATAGTTATTATATATATGGTTAAACTATTACCCACTGGACTGGAGTTCTCCTATTATCCTTAGCCAGTTATGTTTATACGGCCTTAGCTTCCTAATTAGTGTTAAGTATATAATAAAGACCGAGTAGGGGGTAGCGGAGGACCGGTACCTTACTTCTTTTTAAGTAGTACCTTATATACGCTAATCTAAGGTACCTAGGTACTTAATCTTTAGAGGTGTAATTAAGGTAATAAAGGTACCGCCCAAGAGCGGGAACTACGGAGGCGGGCCAGGACTATCGTCTTAAAAGCTTATATATAGGGACTAACTAAGGGGATAGTAGATTCTACTAGAGGGACCGTAAAATATAGGGCTAGGATATAAGCTATAATTACCCTAAGTACTAGACCTATTTTATACGTACCTATTAGGTAGCTAATAGTCTCGTCCTTTAGGTTATAGTATTATAATCATTTTACCTTTAATACCTACCTACCTTACCTACCTACCTAGTATAAGAATCACTATTTAGGCACTATCTATAGCCCCCCTCCTAGGTACCTACCTTAGGTAAGGTAGGTAGTATATAGATAGGTATATTATAAAATAACGAGTACCGCGATAACCCGATTAGTACTTATAGAATAACTATAGTACTTAGGGCGATTATAGCTTATATCCTGGCCCCACGTTTTATTATCCCTCTATTTAGGTCTTACTATACCCCTAGTCGGTCCCTATATTATATATATAACTGCGACTACCCACTTTTTTCTTTTTTTCCCCTCCTTTTTTCCACGTAAGTTTATTAATTCTTCCTAATACTCTGCACTTTATTATAGCCACTCTTCTTAAGATTTCACTTCCGGGCGGGCTCGATATTCCGTGGTTTAATCTGCCTACCTTATTCTAAGCTAATAATAACTTCCTAGATTACTTAAAAGTAGAATTCGAATTAGCTTTAGCTTCTATTAACCACGAGAGGCGAAGACGCTAGAACCCGTCCTTTTTATTACCTCCGTCGTAGCCACTATAAAGAGCATTCCAGTATTTCTATAGAATAAAGCCAGGGTCTAAGCTCTCCGATCCAGCTCGGTTCGACTAAAAAAATAAGCAATTTCTAATACTTATATTAAGACTCTCACACGAGCTATACGCGTAACGGCTTTCTCTACTCTTAAAGACTAATCTTAAGCTCTCTGCTTTTAATAAAGCTACTATTATACAGTTTAGTCGAGAGCCTTGGGCTATGAATCTAGCCTACAGCTTTCCCGCCCCTAAGGTTGATCTCCGACCATTGAAGCGTTTCCATGAGCTTAGCGAAGACGCGCGAGACCTTTTCCGGTGTATTGTATCCGCAGGGGGGATGGTTCCCAAGGTGTTTCTGTTCGATGCATGCCAACCTCAGTCATAATCTCACTCGCGATTATAGGCATAACCGCAGCCGCAGACGCAGCTGCAGTCGAACTCACAGTCATAGACACCGCTCTAATAGTGGTTCCAACTATAAGAAGACGTGGATTTACTTCCACTTCGCATGGCCCACACTATAAACGTGATTTTGCTTCCACTTTGCACTGCTCAGCGCTGCTCTTCGATCAATCAAATCAATTCGAGGGTATAGAATTGATTGATTAATAGATTCGGCGCCGTGAAGTTGATTGATTGTCAATTAATTAATTGAATTGGTTCGCCTACCCCTGTCAGTAGCTGTCCATAAGTGAAGCTATTCCCAGATCATAGATATACCTGTTAGCCTCGAACCTATGCCATTCCTCCCACTCTTGAACCACTAACAGTTACTAGACCCTGTAGCAGCCAGCTCTTAAGACTCTGAATAGCTTTAAGTGTTTTTGGTAATATTATCGAACTTGGAAGAGGTCGGAAGACTGTAGATGGGAGAGGTCGGAAGACTGTAGGATTTCCTGTTCGACTATAGTGGCAGCAGGAAACCGAGCCGCGGCCTGTTCTTTGCCTGGTGATAGGCGATCCTCGTTCAGGCCTTTCCTCGATGTTTTCTTCCTCTTTTATTCACAGCCGCCCCTTCGCCCATCGCCTCGGTGACACGGGTTATGGCTAGGCCAGCGCCGTCTCACTGCCATAGTTACGTAGGAATATCGCGGTCAATGCCTATAAGGATATCGTCAGCTAGAGATGAAATAGGAGAGGGGCAGGGCAATAGACCTGCCTTATATGGATCGTAGTCAGGTCTATAACTACATGGACGTAGATAGATGAGTAGCTATAGCTCTGATCAGGGCAACGACGGCATTAACCTGACCTATGGATTGTCTAGGTGGATTGTGATAGGGGTGGCTGATTGAGTAGAGGGACCTTGGATAGATTATCTACTCTAGCATATGGATCCACCTAACCCCGCGTGAATATGAAAGACGCATCACGTGATAACGTACAACACCATAGCCACCAGCCTCGCCTCCTTAGACGTAATCATCCCGCCCGTTGGAGTCCATCATACACATTCCTCTCGACACGCGGGTCCCAATTCTCCGCCCGAATCCATACTACCTGGGATGTGAGCCCGAAGCGCTTGTTTGGGTATACGATATATGCATGATCGCCAAGTATGTAACCCAGGTAGTAGGTGCGATAAGTGCGTGAATTCCAATTCTGCAAAGCCGCGTCGACGAACTCGATAGTGATCTTCTCCGGGTCGATTCTGACGCCTCCAGCCTCCCGTTTATAGACAATCTTCTTCATTTCATTGGCAAGTTCGTCCGCAATAGTGGCGACATTGGGGGCGTATTTGCTCTCCTCTCCCTTAGCCAGTGCCTCCGCGACGGCGTCGACATTGTTTGCTAAACGGTCATACGTCCCATACTGGGCGACAATACTCCAAGCCACTGCGGCACATGCCCGGGCAAGACCCGACGCGCCATCCCGGCCATGCGGGATCACTTTGTTGCTTAACATGCTCGGGTGCGCCGTGGTTGGCCTTATATCCAGCCGCCTCGTTATGCATGTGGGCGGATACTCGCTGCCGCTGCCGCTTCCAGAACGACCTAGTACGCCCCCAGATGGCCACTTTGTGACGGAGCTGCTGCCGCCGCTGCGTGGAATATCCTCCGGCGCTGACGACAAAGGCGCGGTCGTTTTGTCTTGCTGCCGGCCGGGGTGCTTGGTGCGGTGGCCGTGATGGTGGATGCGGGGCTGGAGGTGGGCTCGGCCAGGATGCGCTGGAACAGGTCGTTCCAGCCGTTCTCATCCACACCCGCAAACGCCCTGCGAGACGCGAGCACCGACATATCCAACAACTCAACCACGCATAGCTCGGTATACAGCACGTACGCCTCCACCTGTCGCGTCTGTGCCGGTCTCGTGAGGCGGCCCACGGCCTGCTCGATGCTCGACGGCAGCCGGGACACGTAGAACAAAACCGTCAGGTGACATGCCCTTTCGAGGTCGTTGTGACCGGTTCCAAGTAGCTCGTACGTGGAGATAAGAATCTTGACCGCACCTGGATCTGTCGCCTGGAACCACTTCTTGATACTGCCCCGCGCGCCCTCCTCGTGCGCCTGGGCGATTAGTTGCGGGATTAGCTCCGGCTCCCGCTGCTGTCGACCGCCCTCCCCGCCACCATCGCTATGTTTCCGCTGCTTTCTGGCCGCCGCTATCGTCTCGAGGGCGATTTGTAGAAGGGATGCGTCGCCTGGATCGACACAGAACACTAGCACATTGCCCGCGGCTGTCGGCGCCTTCTGGAATGCCCCGTCCACAAGTTGCACGAGCCGCTCGACTCGGATATTTTTCTCCCTCGCGGTACTAAGCACGAGTTGTTTTGGCGCGTCCCGAGTCGCTTCCTTCTCTAGCCAGTGGGTATATAGCACAGGCGTCCAATTGTCGTTGTTGGTTGCGGCGGCGGAGGCCGATGCCCCCGCGGCCCTGCTGCCTTCATGGTCTCGCGGACCCATTTGCTGAGCTGCGTGTTGATCCCCGTTAGCGCCGTTTGCAGCTTGTTAAAGTCCCGCTCCTCGAGCTGCGCTGCCACTGGCCACGACGCATAGCGCCTGGCGTGATTAATCGTCACCTCCCCCCTCTGCTGCGTTGCCCGCGACCCACCGCCAAAGGTCTCCAGCTCCGTGCGGACCCTGTCCATATGCTGGTACGCCTCGCTGACTGCTAGGCTCCCGGGCGCTTGACCGTTCGCGCACTTATCCCACTTGGTCTTGATTTTTCGGCGCATCGACTCGTTCGCCCGATGCCACGCCAAGTCGTCGTGACTATCGTAGGTGCACGGCCATAGCCGGAAGATGGCTTCGTTTGTCCGCACGACCGGCTGCCCGTCACAGTAAGACTTTTTTCCACGACCGACGAATATAGGTCGAAGCTGGGCGGCCGCCTCTCGGTATAGTTCCTTTCGCTCGTGGCTCTTCCCCGCGCCCTCCGCCTCTTTCAGCCGCCTCTGGAACTCGCCAAGTCTGGCCCTGACCGCGTCGCCTACGTTGCCCGCCCGGAAGAGGAGCGCCACCTGGGTCTCAATGTTGGCAAAGCTTGTTGTGATTGGCGTAGCACTCATCATAAGGAGCAGAGGAGGTGGATCCAGGCCGTACCTCTGGTGGCCCTGAACGTGTAGCAGCTGCGCCGCCAGCGACATACCTACGGTCTCCGGCCTCCGTGCCTGGTGGAACTCATCCATCACCATCAGGCTAATGGGAATTGAGGGGATAGGCCGGCAGGAGACGCGCACTCTGTTCTGCGTTAGATGTCCCGTCTTGTTTATGTTGGGCCTGGCTACCCGAAGGACGACCCCCGACGCCACCGACCGTAGCTTGTCCGCCAAGGCACCGATGTTAGAACCGAGGAGGAGTAAGGACGATGTCGCTAGTGGCCGTTGCTGTGGCAGGGTAAGACTATACCCCGGCATACGCGACTCAAAATCCGCCTTCTCATGGCCAGGCACCTTAACGAACTTAGCCGCGTCCTAAGGGTATGGCATCCCCTTCTCAGTCTTCTTCGCGCTTTTAGGTATGGCGGCCCCTTTGCCTCTGGCAGCCCTGGCTTCTGCCTCACCAAACTCCTCTAACCACTTTAGCACCGCCGCTTGAGTCGCTGAATTGTCTACCCGACCATCCACATCGAGGGGTCGGCCGCCGTTATTTAATCGGAACCGGTATGGCAATAGTCGCAGGACTGTCTCTGTCAGCACGTTGTTATCGATATCGGCTGCCCAGTTACCTGTGCCTGGCCAATCCTTGGCCTCAGGGTGGCTTAGCACGCGGACTCCCGCATAGCGCCGTTCCACGCCCACTCCTCCCCGCACCGTCACCTCCTCGCGTAAGAACACTGCCGCCTGAGACTTTACCCCTAAGACGTTGCCGGGCGGCGTTAGGTATATCATAGGACGGTCGTGCGGCGCATGCGAATACCGCCGTAGGATGTCTGCCCCGAAACCCCGCGGGTTGCAGGGGCACTGCAGGTGCATCGCCGCCCCCGTCGGGCAATTATCCCCTCTTGCTGTCGTCGAGGTTGTTAGGTGTGCCGCTGGGTATTGGTGGTGGTCCTCTTCTAAGATGATAGCCATTCGAAGGGTCGCTGCCGCCGCCAGAGCCACGTATGTCTTTCCTGTGCCGACTGCCGCCCAGTAGATGGCCCCGTTAACCGACTCAGGCCTCTGCATTAAGCTCCAAAGATCTTCGAGCTGGTGTCGGAGCAGCCCCTGGCCGTCCTGCAGATAGGGGAGGTGGAACTTTCGCTCCGCCACCTCGCCCTGCCACCTCGGGTCCCCTAGGGCGAAAGCCTCTTCGATACGTTTCCAGTGAGGATGTTGTTCAGCCTGGGAGAGGTGCGCCTGCAACACATCCTGCATGCCCTCCTGTTCATTGTCTTCGTCATCGTCGATGATGATGGTTTCATGGTCGTTTGGCGTGTTGTCATCCCCTCGGAGCATGGGGCCGGATATAGAGCCAGTGGCAACAGCAACAGTATCATCATCGTCGTCGTCGTCGTCGTCGTCGTCGTCACTAGACGATAAGCTAGACCCGATGCTGATCACCTCGGACATGAAGGAGCTGACGTTGCCTTGTATTCCGGGTGTGCTTGGCAAGGGTAATGCCGACTCGAACGACAACTCGACTCCTTGGGACAGTCCCGTATGCCCGTTATCTTCATCTCCATCCTCGTCTTGCTCGGTATTATGGTGTCCTGGGTCGTTATCGCTCTCCTCGGCAGGTCGCTCCATAGCTGGCTGTTCTCCTAGTTCCAGTACAGGGGTCTTGTCGTGAATATTAGTACTCACCCCTTCTTCTTCTTCTTCTTCTTCTTCTTGTTCTTCTTGTTCTTGTGCTTCCTCCTCCTCACTCGCGGCAGGCGTGCCGGTGGCCGTCCGTGAGGCTGCAGCCGTGCCGCCCTCATTCCCTTCTGCTGCAATAGCTACCGGTGCCGCCTCGTTGTCCCAGTCGAATATCAGGCGAATCAGCAAACCGTTTGTGTTGTTCATCGCCGCCGCGAACAGCCAGTCGCCACCTGCTACTATACCGAGCTCCGACATGCTCTCAATCTCGTGTTCCATACTTGCCGGGCCCTTGATCCAAATTGTGCCCGCCATCCTTGCCCGAATGTCATCATCCACCTCTGCAACCTCCTCTATCGCGGCGGCGTAGTCGAGCTTTTCTAGCAGCGCCTGGTCCTTATAGCCTTGTTCTTGCATCTCGCGTGCCACCGCCGAGTCGAGCAGCGCCTCTATAAACGCCACGGGGCCAGGCCTGCCGTCTCGGCGCATGAGCGCGATTGCCCAGCTTCGGAGAACCTTGATCTGACCTTCTGTTGCCGCGGCTCCGCCCGTTCGTTGTCTTTTCTGCCTGGCTGGCTGCCCCGACGAGCTTCTGTTTTCCCCGCCCGACGAGTCGGACGGGGCATACCGTCGGCGGTTCATGTTATGAGGGTCGGCTGCTGGGTTGTGGTTGTGTGAGTCTTTGTTTTCTTTTTTTTTGACTCGGTTAGTGCTAAGATAACGGCAAAATGGGAAAACATAAAACATCAGCTTAATCGAGTAATGCTGAAGGAAAGTGTTTGCTTGAGAATATTCGTGTATATATTGATATCTTAGATTTCTTGTGATATATATCTAATTTGGCAGGGACCTTGTTCCATTACAACCCCCCTCTTCCTCCTGTTCACATAGTGCTGCCTTTCAAACCAAATGGCCCTGAACAGTGTAAGAACAATGAATTCCGTCGAGTATCATCTACATGTACCGTTCTTTATGACTGAGACCCACTGCCTACCACCCCACCTTATATCAAATGGGGCGCTATCCGGGGAGCAGGTCTCCTTAGTACAGGAGTGAGCCAGAGCTCGAAATTGCGCCATAAGCAAGGCTTTATGGTAGAACGGGCGAGCCGAGATGATTCTGCCAACTACTGCTACGACTCCGCCGGTCGTGGGCCGTCGGCTGAAATTGAGTGTGTGCTATAATCTATTCGTGGCCTGAAGAAAACAATTAGTGGTGACAAGTCAACGCCGCAACGATGGAGCATAAGAGGCCATCCGACAACTCACGGCGCATAGAGACGGCGCACACTCCATGTTATCGAAAATCGCCTCTTTAATCCATAGTAGTCGATCCGAAGGTTGCTGACCCAAAGGCGAGGGAAGAAAGTTCGTGTTGATTGAGTTGGAAATAGTTGGGAACATCAGATGTCCAGGCGCGTGTTCACACCATATGCAGCTTGTGGATGCCCAACCAATCCCTGGGGGGATTCCTGGGGATATGTGTCTCGCTTCGAGTTCAGCTTGCTGGGGTCCATCATGGTTGAGCTGGCCGCTGGGAATAGCAGACCATGGATGTTGCGGGTTGGATGCACTCCCTAGCGACGGTAATTCCATCAACAAGGGCTCTAAATTCTCTGACAGAGACGCTCCTATAATTCGAAAAAAGCTCCGAAAGGTCTTGGGGTCATCTTCGGCGTTCATAATATAGGGCCCCGAGAAAGCAAGGTATTTTAAGGTGCGTTTGCATGGACTGTAAAACACGTATGACTCAAGAGACTCCTTCAAATCGGATTTTAGACCACAGCTTCGTACCGAGTTTAACATAACGGCTATGGCATCCGTTGTAAGGCGGAAAGCGACGGTATGTTGATAAACCAAATCAACACAAATCATTTGTAGTTGCAGCTCGAGCCTGCTCGATCGTTCGCCGTGCAATGCTGTCGCCTGGTATTGCGGCCACTGGTGAGATAGATACCAGGACTGGGAGGAGTCAGACAGCACCTGGGAAAGACAAGTCTTCAGGTTACCAAGGGTATTTAGGCTTTTTGGGGGGTTCTTACGCAGCAGCAATATATTCTTTAGCCATAGGTACTGATGGGCGTCCCACATTACGAGGGGCGGGGCCAAAATCTTTGTAGAAGAGAAACCTGTGCTGCTAGGAAGCAGAGGCCTAAGGGTGGTGCGGCTTATAGCCCTAGGGCCGTCCATCTTCTATCGGTTGTGTGATATGAAAAGACAGGAATAAGAAGCGTCGTAAGCCCCAGACAGCACTTCACCTATACTGCGGCCAGTATATATAGGCGACGTAGAAGAACAGAGCCGGAGTGCTCTATAAACCAACCAACCAACCGCACTTGTTAATAGAGCAGGGCTGTTGGCGCTATAAGGGCACGCATTGAAGGAAGGCTTGTCCTGTAATCAGCGGATTAAGAAAACTTCCAGCCCTGTCCCCTCACGCGCTGTTGGGAACTGTGGAGTCCACAGTTAAACGAGCAGGGCAATGTCCCGGCAATGCACAACATACATCCTACACCACATAGTATAATGTGTCGTTCTACTCGTGTAGTCATCGGAGTTCTCCGGACCAGGATCCCTATACATAAATCTAGGCTGAAAATGCTAACGGTCGTAAACTACAACATATCCACGAATCCACATCCACACCAACTTCCAAAAGCCCATAGCTCTACCCCCCCCCCCCCCCCCCCCCCCCCCCCCCCCCCCCCAAACAACCATTGCATTCCGAAGACGCATTTCTTATCCGATATCTTTACTCCTCACGATTCGACGAGCGAATGTTTTGGACATTTCGAACCTCCTTTGTTTCGGATTAAACTAGGTGGCCACCTTAGATGCGACCTAAGGTGCCATTCTCCCATCATACCATAGCGACATTGAGATTTCCTGATGTGACCCGGGCGGAAAGCCCAACTGCATCTCCATGTGCATGTATCATCTAGATGCACTCCCCCGACCAGACCTCACCCAAAGCAAGTCGATTCATACATAGTAAGAAGCCCTACCAGCATAGCCTTTAATGGTGAGGGGTGAGTGTAACCGATTCGCTAGAGGGATATTACGCTAAATTAGCGTCTTTTTACAACAACACGCTAATTTAGTGTGCATGGTATATAGCTGCCGACGCTAAGTTAGCGTCCTTGAAGAAAACACGCTAAATTAGCGTGTCTCCGCTGAGCAAGAAAAAGAACATGACGGTATTAGGAACGGCCTAAAGTTTAGCACAACATACTCTCCACCCTCACACCCATCCCTCTAGATATTCCATTCCGTCTCCTGGTCCAGGCCCCTCTCCTTTCTCAATGTTCTGATTTCCCCCGCCATAAGCCCCTTATAATCACCATAATTCCACTCCGTAATATCTTCGGTGTAGGTAACGCCTTTATTCTATTCGGCGGCGCCGAAGGAAGGCGATAGGAGCAGCTTAAACGTTTTTCTCGTCCTCCTTCTCGGGCTAATAAAACTATACGCGAGACGGGACGGGTCGAGGAGTTTACCGGCGCCGACTAAAGTTTCCGCCGTTAAGGACACCTACGCGGCGCCCGCCGCGGTGAGTTTAATATCTATAATACCCGTATAGCGGCCCGACTTAGCCTAAGTCGTTCCTCCTAATTATAGAGAGTTTATTATCGAAAAGCATAGTATATAGAAGACGAACGTAATATTACTATTCTTCTAGACTTAATTATATATAGAACTTACTATAACGTATAAGGAATACACCCGGCGTTAGGGCGTCTTAGTCGGATATAATACTAGGTATAATATACCTATAGGTTATAATGCGATATCTAGTATAGAGTTATATACGCTAGTACGTGTTTATTATAAAAGCGGGGTAACGGGGGACACTACTCCTATTAAGCTAAACCCTCGAGAATTACTCATGTCCTATGGAGACGCTAGTCCTCGGCTAAATAGGTCCTTTAGGCCGTCGATATTCCCCTTTAAGGCAAATATAATCGACTTAGCTATATCCAGAACCCTCCGCTATATTATAAGCTAGAGCTAGGGTCTCTGTCTATAATATCTTTACTAGAGTAGATCCTAGGAAATTAAAGATTATTCTGGTTAGACGAATTTATGTTTTCGCTTATTAAACTATATCGACTTATTAGCTTAAATAGGCATTATTAGATTTAGGATAAAGAGGGTTATAGGAATTATAAAGGTTAACGGTTCGGATATCTAAGCCGTATACGCCGGACTAGAAGTAGTAGGGAGACTATTTATAGCGATAGCCCCGGGGTTAACTAATCGGCTACTACTAGCGGTAGATAGCGATAATAGCCGGAATAAATATAAGAGGTAGTCGTGGGAATCGCTAGTAGAAATAGTAATAGGATAAATACCCTACGGCGCTATTATACATTAACGCGCGACTAGACTTATACCGTACTCTTCTAGTTAGTAGATACTTTACTCCCTAGCGGGGGAGGGGGTGGGCGAGAATAATAGTTTAGCTGGTTTAGAGTTAAATAGCTAAGTATACGCTGTCGTATAGGATAAAGGAGTCCGGTAAGGCTACGACGTATCACGGGCTAAAAAGGTAGACTCTAGTGAATTTAGCTAGGTGGCCTGGTTTAGGAGAACTAGTATCTAATAAGTTATCTCTATCGGAGCAGATAGTCTTAGCGCTTAAGTGTATCCGTTAGTATATCCCTATAAGGCTATTCACGAGGTAGTTCTACTTATTATTTTACGCTGTTCTGGGTAAGGTTATTCCGACTCGGATATTTTATCGGCGGAGTTACTAATAAGTAAGATAGCACTAAGAGGGGTCCTGATATTATAGTATAAGTATCTAAAGGTTATAATCGGGCGGGTTTACGGTGGGCGAGAGCTTAGAAGGGACTAACCCCTTATCTTAGTGATTATTAGCTTACCCTTTTTTCGGCTAATAGCGCTTAGTAATCTCGATAAAATCGTGGAATAAGCTCGGGGCGCTCTTTAAATACGTATACCTCTATAAATTCTATAATCGGTTAACGATAGATAATAGCGAAAGTATAGGTAAGCTAATACCTAAGCTTAAGAGCATAAGAAGGTCCGGTTTTACTTAAAGGTATTTATAGTAGCTAAGCTAGCTATCTATATTAAGCGGGCAGCCTTCGTTTAGGCGATTAATCCTTTCCTTCGTTAATAACTTTACTACGTACTACTCTAGGCTTCCTATCCTAGTTTTACTATAACCCCGGGAGATACTAATCACGGCACCTAGGCGAAGACCCTAATAATAGCCAGAATATAGTAATTCGGCTATACGGAGCACTATTTACTTCTTAACTTCGGGGCGTCTCGGACTAAAAACGGTAGGCTTATTAATAAACGTATTTAGGTCTTCTCGGGCGTCGGCTTTACGTAACTCCGTATCGAGTTTTCGAATTAGTTTAAGGCGTCGGCGTTTACGTGTTCCGGAGTCTCCTATTTTATAAGGTTAGCGAGAAGGAATAGGGGTATAGATAGACACGAGACTAGAGCGTAGACGCAGGAGAGAAACGGTGGAGCAGAGATAATAGGCAAAATCGAGGAGTAGCGATAGGCAAAATCGAGGAGCAGCGATAGGAAAATCAAGGGGCAGCGATAGGCAAAATCGAGGGGCAGCGACGGGAAAAATCAAGGGAGGCAGTAACGGCAGGAAAAATCAAGGAGAGGCAGTAGCGGCAGGAAAAAACGTAGGGGCAGATATATAATAACCGGTATAAGGGCCTCTATTATATCTCGCGGTAGATACTTATTAATTCTTTATAGTTATACCCGTACCGGTATACTAGGGGGTACTTAAAAGAACGCTATAACCCCTATAATCTATAATACTTCCTTTACCCCCTATCGGAACTAATATTAGAGCTTTAGACTTAGAGATCTAGCGAACTATATACTTATTTCCTATCTATAAGTCTTTAATATACCTGCTTTCCGACCTTTAGTCATAGATTATAATAGAAAATAAAAGCTATTAGCTACTCGTATATTAGTTAGGATAATAACCCCCTTAAAATATATATTATAGTAATATATTAGGAAGTTAATAGCGCTAATATATACTAAACGGCTAGTTTAGGAAATTATTCTACTCGCCCTCCTTATATTTACTATACCTAGTTACTTAGCTACTTCGACTTAAGATTACCACTAATATAGGAAGGGCGAGTAAGAAAATTTCCTTATTTAGCTATCCCGCGTCAAGACCTATAAGAAATCCTATAGTTAACTCTTATCTTAGCGTGTATCTCTTACTATAAGAAATCGCTATCATCACCGCTCTTCTTAGTGTATCTCTCTTATTATAGAGTATCCGTTATAGGGAGTCGGCTACCCTCCCGCGTAGCTACGAGTATCTCTCCTTCTTATAGAAGTCCTTCTCCGTGCTCCGGTAGCGTTCCCGGACTCTGTATTTATGCCTTAACGTACGGTCGAAGTCTTATAAACGACTCTTGATAGTAAACGCATAACTTAGAGCACTTTATATCTACTTCGAGTATTAGTAGTCGGATATAAGAAGTAAGCCGAAAAGAGGCATATATTATAAAGTATCGTAAAAAGCCGAGCTAACTATTAAAACCCTTTCTTTATAGGTATACTAGATACGGGCACTAATATTATATTTAATCTTCGCCTTCGTCGCTACTATCCTTGTTAAAGTCGTCGTATTCGCTATTATAATAGGAAATCTGGTTTATTAATCCTTTAAACACGGGTAAATATACTTTAGCTTCTATTAGTCGAGTAATAAGCTAGTGTTTTTTAAGCTTTATCTTAGCCGTCTATACTTACTTAATTAGTCGACTATTAAGTATAAGAATAGCCTTCCTCCGAAGGAGCCTATAACTAATAGCCAGACCGATTTATATACTAATACTAATAACTAGAGTATTATCCTATCTTAGTTCTACTAAGAATTAATTAGTCCCTATAAGCTACTGTTTACCTTTACTATCTTATTATATAGTATATATATCTATCCTCCTTTATACTATACCTTCTAATTAGAGTTCTTTAGGAGGTTAGTACCTTTTAGATAGAGTAAGTTAGACTAGACACGATATACTTAGTTCGTAATAGGCTTATACTAGTTTCTATAAGATAGCCTAACCTTAGCCTACTAATAGTATTTTTTAGAAGGTATAAGAATAACCCTCTATCCCTTATTATAGCTTCTAAGGATTTATAACTCGGAATACGGCTATAAGAGGCTTAGTCTAT